TACCTGGGGGGGGGGGGGGTGATTGGCATAAAAATGCTACTGTGCACTAGTGCTCTGTTCTGACACACTCCTGATTTTTGGCAAAATAGAGGACTTGGAGAGAAGCCACAAACATGCATTTGTGCTCATAGTGACTTCATAGCAGTATGCTTTGCTGTTTAAGAATACAGATGTTTATTATTATTATTATTATAATACAGGATTCATATAGTGCCAACAATTTGTGCAGCGCTTTACAATATAAGGAAGACATTATTACAATACAATTAAAGACAAGATAGTAAGGAGGGCCCTGCCCCTGAGAACTTACAATCTAACAGGGGGGACACGTGATACATGAGGATGAAGCTGTGTGGGATGAATTGTTTGAGAAAGTGATAGTTCAGTGGTTAGTTTGAGGTAGCATAGGCTTCCCTGAAGAGATGAGACTTTAGGGATTGCCCATAGGCAGGCAGGGTAGGAGATAGATGGACAGGTTGGGGTATGGAGTTCCAGAGGATGGGAGAGACTCTGGAAAAGTCCTGGAGGTGAGCATGAGAGAAGATGACAAAGGAGCTAGAGACCAGGAGGTCTTTGGAAGAGTGAGCGGTAAGGGTGATAGTTTGAGACAAGGTTTAAGATTTAGCCAGGGGCAGAGTTGTGAATGGCTTTGTAAGTGATTGTTAATATTTACAGGGTTATTCACAAAGCTGCCGAAGGCAGCCGAGTGAATTATACACTCGAAGTGAAGTGAGCCGAATGCTGTTCGGCTATTCACTTCAGGTTTGTACGGCTGGCTTCAGCTGCACTTCGGTCAGCCGAAGTGCAGAAGGACTTCGACTCAGCCGATCCAACATCTGAATCAGCTGAGCCGAAGCTCCGGCAGCTCACTCGCTGCCGTTCGTTCCTACTTATATAGGGGCTGAACGGCGGTGATTGAATAGCCAAATGCTGCCGAGCAGGATTCGGCTATTCTGCTTGGTACCTCTGTGGTACCGAGCAGAATAGTAAATCAATGAAAAAGGTTGAAAACAAAAAAGTTGGGATCAGCTGGAGGTACGGCTGATCCTTCCGCTAGCTTTGTGAATAGAATTTTATCCTTTGGTATATTTTTATAAACAGATGGACCAAAGTTGTAAAATATTGTGATAAATACCAACTGGCAACACAACAGGCCACTGTGCACATTCCTACAATTTTGACTTCTTGGTTAAAGCTCAACTGCACTCAAAATAGTTTTTTCCCACCCATCCTGCTAGGATTTTGTTTCTCCTTACCATGTATGTAAAATCCTGTTTTAAATCCATGAAACCTGAAATCCCACCATAGTCTATTGGTGAAGGATCTAAATTCTACGTGCCATTTTTAAGGCACATAGGCAAGCTATTATATTAAAGAAAGAGCATAGGGAGCTGGGTACTGCAACGAGGGACATTTAACAAAGCAAAAAAAAATTTTTTTTAAATACCATAGAGCAGATAGGGTGTCCTTTTGCAGCAGGTTTGTACATTTAACAATTACTAGCACACAGCACACTGCACCACGCGCTAGGTGCGGTTGGGCATTGCCTCGCTATTCATTTAAATGGCACCCCACCGTACCTCCTGGTGGGCATGTGCTGCAGAATAATACAACAAGCAGTACCTCAATGCCTTCTGCCGGGAGGTGCCATTCAAATGGATAGCACTCAACACCCCAGCTCACCTAAGGTTTGATGCAGTGCTCTGTATGTCAGTGTGTGCTAAATGCAGGGATCCAGTGTGTTTAGCACAACGCTATGGTGTGGACACGCTAAATGTAAGAAAACACTTGCCTAGTGTCTAAGCCTTTCCCCTCTTTAATCTGCTCACAAAACTTCCCTGATTTGGCCATTTTTTTGTGTCTCTAAAATAATATACTTTAATTTCTAGCACACAAAAACACCTGCCTTGTTTCAGTTTCCACATTTTTGCCTGTTCTTCCTGGTCACATGTACATACTGTCCAGGTACTAGCTAATTTTGTAGCAAATCATACCTGTAATAAATTCACCTCCATCCGATCCAGTGATGGAATCCGGAGCCGCCTATTGATGAGACGTCGTGCTGCTCCTCCCCCCTCAAGCGGAATGTTAAAACTGGGGGGTTTTCAATTGCTCTGGGTCCTACTAAACTGTAATATTGCAGTAATTGAGTTATAGGCTCTCAGCTGCGGAGGCGAGTAGGTTACCCTGGCCAAAAGGGAGTAACTGTCTCCAATGGTTTGTTCCTTGAGGAAACGGTAGTTCAGTGTTCAGTTCCACAATTATACGCTCCATGTAGTGCGGAGGAGGTTGTGGAACTGGTATACATCATATTATTATTTTTATTTTTTTATTTATTAAAACATTTTTTTATTAATTTAATTTTTTCTTCTCCACCTAACTTTATTGCTATCACACAGGGGAAAACAATCCCCTGTGTGATAGCAATTGGAGGTGACAGGTTCTCTTTATTGACCCTGTCACCTCCCCTACGACCCTGTGCAGGGGGGGCTGCAGATTTTTTACATGTGATCTCGGCGACATCGCCGAGATCACTTGTAAACGAAAAATCGGCTGCCTCACACTACATTTAGTCCTGCTTGTGCAGGACTAATCCGGTCCTGACTGTGTTACAACCAGATATTATTGGCCCTTGTGTACTACCAACAGCTGCACTGTCTACTGCCATTACATGGAATCGTATAAATTAGATTGCAGAGAACTATAAACCCCATCTGTTTTGTCCAGTGCTATCTGTATGCTATCTAAGATTGCGGACCTTTAT